CCATATATATTAACATTTTAAAGCTGAATTGCTAACAATCCCAAATGTTGTTTCTAGGGAGAACAGAAGTTCACATTCATTGAGAAGTGTGGGAATCCTCGTTCTGTGACTTTGCTAGTGAAGGGACCCAATAAACACACCATCACACAGATCAAAGATGCTGTGAGGGATGGACTGCGGGCCGTGAAGAATGCCATTGAAGATGGTAAAACATCCAAAATTTGGTCAATTTATTGTTTCTGGTCAGTTATTAAATATATCATAAGTTTAAAAAAAGTGAAACAGACCTTTTCTGCTAACTTTCTGTGCTTTAATTGTAAATGGAGTGGAAAATTTAATGAAGGCTTCACAAATGGTTAACGCACCACATTCCTAGTGCGTTAACCACAGGTAATAAGAAATGGTAGTTGCATCATCTTGGAACTACCACACACTTGGTTTTTTGTATAGCTGCCATGAACGGTTAAACAATCACTTTAAACTTCAACAACCAAAATGTGTTAACTAAATAGTCCTTGAGCTATAACATTAGCAGTAAAATCAGATTTGAGAGATGAAATAACTTATTTATCTGCAACAAAATGGGTAAAATATCAAATGTTCTATTTTAAAAATCTATTTTAACAAAGCATCATCTGGACTGGAACAGTGTTCACCAATTTCACTGTTTAGTCACTGCAATACAGTTTTTCCTTTAGTGAGAGCCCTTGTTTTGTTTGCACAGCGAACACCCCAGGACGCCACCGTGGCTCTCCTTGGTCCCTTATGTCTGTGCTACAGTGACTCGGGTCATTACCTCTGCATTAGGAGAGTTTCAGTCTCACCTACATGTATTCAGTTGACCTGTACAAATGCAGTGTCTTGTCTTTATCCACAAAACACTGTTTACATTCACTTTGTAACCTTGCTGTGCCTTCTGTCCTAAGATGATATAATTTCCCCCCTTCTTCAGGTAGTGTAGTGTCCGGTGCAGGTGCTTTTGAGGTGGCTCTGGCAGACGCTCTGGTCAAACACAAGCCCAATGTTCGAGGCAGGGCCCAGCTGGGAGTCCAGGCATTTGCTGATGCTCTTCTATTTATCCCTAAGGTGAACCTTTCATCACGTTCAACCAGGATTTAAAATAGGAAATTGAAGAGACTAAATTAGTGAAGAGAAAAACATTTGTCATCTGTTTTTACCCACACTGTCTTACACTTTGTTAATATTTGTTTTCACTTTCATCTGTAGGTTTTGGCCCAGAACTCAGGCTTTGACCCACAGGAGACTCTGTTGAAACTGCAGACAGAATACAAGGAGTCTGGTCAGCTTGTGGGAGTTGACCTCAGCACAGGTCAGAAATACAGTTTTTGTTTTTTAACCTGCTAAACAACTCCTTTATTGAATCTGGTATTTGATGTCTAAGTCAGGGTAATAATTGATTATTCTGTTCAACATAACAGTATTTTAACATGTTAAACAAAAACCTGTTGTTTTTCTCAGGGGAACCTATGGTGGCCGGAGAAGCAGGTGTTTGGGACAATTACAGCGTCAAGAAACAGCTCCTCCATTCATGGTGAGATAAAACATTGAACGTAACAGTTTTATACTTAATTTGCTTTGTCATCAAAAATCATTCTAATCCACTGATATTTTTTTCTTCTTCACAGCACGGTAATCGCTAGCAACATTCTGTTGGTAGATGAGATTGTCCGAGCTGGAATGTCTTCTCTTAGAGGTTAAAGGTCACTTGTACAACCTGCAGCAATTTTATCATACATGCAGGGATAACGTTTAGTGTTAAAAAAAACTTGTCCCTTTTCTCGGAACCTTGAAGCACCCCGGTGTGATGGACTGTCTACTATAGATGCAGCACCCACCGATGTCCATCACAAATCATTGTACTGCTAATCATGGCTTTGTTCAATAGAGATTTGTCCATGCCTTCCTCTGATTGGTTTATTTATGAAATTTTGTTAAAAGCACTGGTGTCTCACTCTCCCATTTCTACCCATTAAAGGTTTTCCTTGTTCTTCAAAAGTGTGCTTCATATTTCTTTCTTTTTAAGTATCTCTGACTGCAGTAAAATGAGGGCAATTCAGTTTTCATTTGTTTTAGGAAGATAAGATTAGCTTTTCCACAAACTTGGATGTCGTGTCAAACTGATTCTTTATTTAAAGACAGAAGATGAATGTCTTAATCCTGTGCTTTGTAACACATCAAACTAATAATTGGACAAATGTACGTTTCTGTGACACATTAAAATATACTGTTGGAGTCCTGAACCATTGACAATAAACAATTGGTGTTCTTGAATCCAGGCCGAGTTGTGTATTGTAATGGATTCATTACATTCAGATGTAAAAACCATAACTTGTAGTATTAAGTCTCACCAAGCATATAGAGAACAGGGTGAAATTCACAAAACATTAGACACAGAAAAAAAAACAGATACATCCATAATATTGATTGAAGTAATGTCAAATAAAAATTCAGCATTATTATTTCACTGTTATATGCTTAACGATATTAATAGTGATATATATTTTAGTTTCGAAAGAGTTTCATCCTGGCATTCAAACCTTAGTGTTATAATCGAAAATGAGTAATTATGCTGGTTTTAATCAATATTTTCATACCACCTTCGTATAAGAGCGGAACTATATTTCTTCTACACAGACTATTTGTTGTTGCACCAATTGCCGGTGTAACTGTGAAATTTGTCCGACTACGAACTTGGAGAGTTTCTTCTGTTGAGTGTCGTGTGTCGTTGTTTTCATTGTGTCGGGAAAAAACAGTTTATTTGATCCTAAAGAAATGGCCTGCAAAGAAGCCTTATGGAGTTTCTCGGTGTTTTTACTGGCGGTTTCAGGTAAGAACCCCTTCATTTTACGGCTAACTGCTGTTTTTGTATACTGAACGCATTTACAAGTTTTTATTCGTGCGAAACAGGAGGTGCTTTATGCAAAACGTTACTACAAATAGAGCCTTGTAATAAAAATGCGTGTCATGGGATGCCTGTCATACTTGTTTTTACAACATTTTATTTACAACAGTACCATTTACCATGTGCAGTGGTACTTTGGCTAATCACGTCCATCATTTGTTAATAATCTTAAATAGTCCATTAAAGTTTTGAGTAAGTTTCCAGGAAGATGTCTTTTTATAGTGTTGGGAACACGACTGAACGTTTTCCACCATTTCCTAATTACAAGAAACACATTCGCAGCTGTCTGGCCAGGATCTGCACTGACATTTTCTGCGCGTAAAGACGTACATTGTAGTTGTAGTTAACATTATTGAAACACCGTGGTAGAGTTCTAACACGTGTCTGTGACTGATTAGAGATCGAGTTGATCCACATTCCACACTAATATACGGTGTCTTGAAGGTGCAACACATAATCTTTTGGCAATTATTGACCTTTATTTATAAAGTTAAGGAAACGTTTATCATGAATATTATGATAGGGGAGTTTTATTTAGTATAAATCATTTGTCTTTGTACGAATTACATTGTACTGCAGTGTAAGCCACACAGTATTTAACAAACGTGCACTTCAGGTCTCCTACAAAAATATTAATAACAAGAAATACTTTTCCACATACACAATGTGCAACAGTCTACTTGTGGGTCAAGGTCAGGTATTTACTCTTCAGATTTTAAATAGCATTCCTGGTAAAAACAGAGACACCGTTGTTGCTTATTAAATTTAAACATAGGCTGTGTTGATTTATTAGTTCTGTTTGATGTTTCTGACAGATCATAATTAGTAATACACATTTAAACCAATGCCCATAAAACTCTACATAAGAAACATGATTGGATCTAGTTTATGCTGCAGGAATGGAAAAAAATGTGTTGACATTTGTAACTGCGTGCAATGGCTTTCACAATGGAATAAATATTAAATTGAATAAAGGCTAAAAATAGTACTCATTAGTCTAATTAGTTTCTCTCACCACATTAAAAAATGTGCATTCTGACACACAGCAGCAGATGAGATGGTATCTGTACCTCGAGGTAGAGTGTTGATGGGAACCAGTGCAGCTGATGGGAGAGATGGAGAGTCGCCCAGCAGAGAGGTTAAACTGGAACCTTTTCAGATCGACAAGTATCCTGTCACAAATGCTGAATTCAGGTAGCGAAGCGCTAACATTTGACTGCAATCTGGTAAAAAGGGAAAGTGTAACATGAATGTGTCACTAACTTTGTTTTTTTTTTTGTTTGTTTGTTTGTTTATCACAGGGAATTTGTCAGGGCAGAGAAGTTCAAAAGTGAAGCTGAGTCTTTCGGTTGGAGCTTTGTGTTTCACGACTTTGTGTCTGATGAGCTGAAAAGCAAAGTTACACAGAAGATTGAGGTACTGATGTGGTGTGTTTAAGAAAATTGAAGGAATCTCCAACACATTTGTGGTAAATCTGCAAAACACTGTTATTAACCAGTGTTGACTTATTGTTTCCTATTCAGTCTGCTCCTTGGTGGTTGCCAATAGAAAGGGCTTTTTGGAGGCAGGTAAGATACTGTGGGTTTTTTTTCATCATCATCATCTCCTCATGGCATCACTGACAACCATTTCACACTTGTACTCTCTGCTGTTTAGCCTCAAGGACCTGGTTCAAGTATTAAGGAACGCCCGGATTTTCCAGTGGTTCAGGTGAGCTGGAACGATGCTCAAGCTTTCTGCCAGTGGAAGGGCAAGAGGCTGCCCACTGAGGAGGAGTGGGAGTGCGCTGCTCGGGGGGGGCTGCAAGGTAACCACTTTGCAAAATTGACAGGTTAAATAATATTCAGCATGTGATGTATATTAAGCTATAAATTCAGGGTTTTTACTAACACTTTCCTGTTGTTCTGTTCAGTTAATGTTTTACAAACATGTGTGAAGAGTTTTTGTTTCTTTCCATTTATCTCTCTGCCCATTGTTGTGATTCAGGTCGAACTTATCCTTGGGGAAATAAGTTTCAAGCCAACAGGGCAAACTTGTGGCAGGTGAGTAGTCCTCAAACATCCATTATGTTAGAATTATTATTATTAGAATTTTCCATGTCATTCCACCACTTGTAATGCAATCCAACAAACCAAATTTTAGTTGGTGACTTAGTGACTGAGTGAATGTACTCACATTCTCTTGTTTGCTTGTGTTTGGTTTAGGGACCATTTCCTGATGAAGATGCTGAAGATGATGGATACCATGGTGTTTCTCCCGTCACAGCATATCCTCCTCAGAACAGCTATGGTAGCTGAAAGTTAACCTTAAGGAAATCGACACGTTTCTGGAAAATCAAAAAGCAACTTCCCCACAATTAACTAATGAGATTCCTTTTACTATCAGGACTCTACGACATGATGGGAAACACATGGGAATGGACCTCCACACGCTTTCCAGGAGAGAACCTCATGTATGTGCTGCGTGGTGCTTCCTGGATTGACACTGTAGACGGCTCAGCCAATCACAAGGCTCGAGTAACAACGAGGTAAGTCATTGGGAGAACATTAGAACAGAATATTCTTGTATTAAATACTTGATCCCACATAACTGCTAAGTAGCAGAAGTAACTGACCGACATCTGTGTTTCCCTCAGGATGGGCAACACGCCCGACTCAGCGTCTGATAACCTGGGATTTAGGTGTGCTGTCAGCAAAGGACAGAAACAAGAGAAGAAAAAAACTGAGCTGTAGCAGCAAACACGAGATAAAAGGATGGACAGTTATTCTAATTTAAATAGGTTTTGGAATGTATGGAACTCTGTGTAAAAAAAAAAAAAAACAAGGGACCAATGAAAACATGACAAACTAACAGATAAGAAGGGCAAGACATTTTATTTCTCCTGTGGAGAAATAGATCTTTCTTATTTTAAGTCCAAGCATATATTACTGTATATGCAAATGCCTTGGGTTACTTATGTGTGCTGCAAGTACTTTCTTTTTGTTTTTATTCCTTTTTATTTTAATATTAAAAACAGATTAAGTTGTTAGGATAATACCTTTTCTTTTCTTATTCTTTTCAAAGTCTACAGGCTCTGGAAAAGCTTGTAAATATAGCATTAAAGTGTGAAGCTTAAATGTTTGCAGGCCTGGCCACAAGGTGGAGGATTGGTTAGTTAGTGCAAGAAGATTACAGGTTCAAATCCCTGGTGGTAGCTGGTGGTCTTTCTAACTGGAGTTCATACACTATGTTCTCACAAAAACTCACACAATCACTTACTGTTTGAGTGTAAAAGTGAATTGTCGTTTGTTTGTCCCGACGACCTTAATAAGGAAAAAGTGGTTAAAAATGAAGATGAATTTTTCAGTTTAATGTTTACGTTGACAATCAGGTTCGGTGTTTCACATCCTGGAATGGATTATTGCATGGATTGTTATGTGACCAGAGAGTAAATGTGGTCACATGGTTCTAAGCTAATCCTTCTAATCCGGTTTTTGTCTTAGTGTTTATATTCTCATCACAGTCCTGCTGCTCAGCGGTCGAACAGAGTAGCTGTATAATAAACAGTTTGGACAATGTATTTATCAAGAGTTTGAACAGTTTTTCACCGTGAACTTTCAACATTTCGTTGCTTGTTTCTTTACTGCAAAAAGTCCCTGTATGTGATGTGTGGCGGCCACTTGACATGGTGCGTTCATCTGCAGACACTCTGTACTGGTGTATGGGAGGGTATGGTTGCCCATTTAAAGTCAACCAATAGGTGGCAGTCTGACAAAAAATGTAATTTAAATAAAGCAGAGCAATTATAAAACCCTAAAATCAAAGTGAGGGTCGGTCAGAGTGGAGAGATCCGTCTGTACTGAAAACAAACAAAAGAACAACACCAGCTGTTTCCCCGAAGCCTTTCTGAACACATGACCTACATTAAAACTGGAAGTCTCTGAAATAGGACTGCCTTCACCGAGGATGACCTTTGTGTGTTGAAATGTTCTAAATAAACAAAAATGTGGAAAGACAGGACGGTCGCAGACTTCCTGAATGCAGATGTTCTGATCATTGTTAAATGGGTGACCTAATTCCTGTGGGACGAACAAGATGATTCTGTGAGGGTTATTTTCTTCAATTTATTTTTAGTAAGTAAGAATCACCACAGCCAATTATTGGTTTTACAGATAGCAGAAGGTGAACTACATTCTGCTTCATCACAACACTACAGATGCACAACAACAGCATGTGAACACTGAAGGCTTATAATTAAAAACTATAGTACTATAGGCTTACAAAAATGGAACATCTGGTTATGTTGATAGTTTAATACCTTACACTAGGTTTAAAGTTTACATCAGCCTACTTCCTAAACAGTAACAACCTTTTTTTAACGTATTGCAAATGTGTCACTGACTCATCTGTGGAGGAGGTTTTTTTGCTAAAAAGGACAAAACTTCTGCTATCTGTAGTTTCATTCCCAAAATAATCAAAGGCATCATTGTTCTTGACTTTATTTAGACAACGTTTTGTCATTTGGAGCTTGTTGTTTTTGCCAGACCAATGTTGGTTGTCAACATGAGTCATCAAAAACACAAAAATAAATCTAGAGGAACTGTACATTTAAGTATTTAATACACAGATATATATGATATGCAGTGTAAACTTAAGATAGTTGTGGTGAACTGCAATGCAATGCTGGGTATTATGTCATGGTCAGGGGGAGGAGCCTACTGATAAGTGGGTCTGGTGGTCACAGGTGATACATGTTATGTTGTGATTGTGATCTGATGTTGTCAGCAGCAATGCTAAAGGAAAAAAGCAGAGTTTGTGTGAATATTACAGTCCCTGGCCGGTTTCTGCAGCCATAATGGATCACATGGATTACAAACCAAATGTACTCTGGCTATATATAGGTATGTATATATGAAGTTCGTGCTTAAACTTTCACAAATGACATACTCTGCTCGGACCCAAAATGCCAGTTCCTGGACTGGAACGTACCACTAGGTGTGTAAGAAGTTTTATTAAGGGAGGTGAAATTCCACTGGCAGGATTATAAATACTGCAGTTGTCAGCTTGTTCTCAGCCGGCAGTATACTACATACATGAATTAAATTGTGCTGGCTCATCATGTATATACACAACACAAAACCCCTCCCACAAACTTCAACCAACACAAAGCCCAAATTACATTTCAAATGCTCATGCACAATTAAGTCAAGAACACGCTGTGATGATATGATTCATAATTAACAGAATAATAATTGGCCGTTTGAAGATTCCAGGGAACAACTTGATTGGGAACGTTTGTTCTTGGGTAGAACACTAAAGACAAGCTATCTCCTGGTAAATGTTAACTGTTTGTGGAAAACTATTTTTATGCTAACCCTCAGTGTCCTTGCTATACCTTGTGCTCTATGAGTATGGCTTCATATGTGCTTTGAGTTTTGTACGAAAACATGTTTGATTGCATTAGTTTAACATAAGAGGGAAAGAAAGAAGCCAACAATTTTTACTGTTTACCCATGTTATTTATAGTCTGTTTTCTTGTTGTATAGAACGCTATAAATACCCTGATCCATGGGTTCACTCACAGATTTTTATAGTTTAATATAAATGAGGGCTGGAAGCTGTAGCCTTACTTAGTGCCCTGAGTTCATTGAGCCTGGTCTGACTGAAGTTGAAGCCTGTACATATGTTGCTGGGTGTTGAGATAGCATTTTAAGCTTGAGAATTCTTCAGTGAATAAAAATCTCACAAGTAGTTTCTATATGTCTATATGTAGCTGGACGGTGGAATTATTAGATACGTAGTGGGCGTAGTTCTGTGTATGAGTTAAAATGCTTCAGAAAGGATTTCACAACATACAAAATCATGCATTTAAGTGTTTTTTATAGCTGTCTATCTCCATCTTAATTTTAACAGTTTGGTCAAATCTAAATACACACTGCATTTACAGTGTCATGGTTAATAATTTGCAAATGTTCAGTGCTATGATGTTTAGGGTGTGTCAAGTAGCACGGATGATGTATTTTTAGATGTCTTGGTTTAAATAGACAGTGTCCTGTCCACACCTTGCTGCTTGAAGAATCTATTCTTCCATTGACTGCGGATACATTTATCACATGTATTTAAATGTATGCAGACCATTCTACTTTTTTCGTTGTCTTTTTTTTTTGTCTGAACAATCAATATGAAAGGATCACTTGTTTGACAAAAATGGTTGGACGTCAATGCTCTGCTGCTAAAGGGCCATTTATCCATTTCCTCTGCAGGCGGGTGTAAACTTATTGTGCTCTGTTGGTTTTGAAAAAACAAAACAAAAACCAAACTCTGTGCAAAAATGGCCGCTAATATTAACCTTGTAATCATTTCTGAATATTAGGTGGCTACCACATATAAATAACACCTTACTTGTTGTCCCACGTACTTGCTCAGGTTCAAATGGAGGCGTGGGCTGTGGAAGTTTCTGAAACCTAGGAACCGAGGCTCTGGTGGATTGGTTTGAATCTGCTTTTATTGTGCTTGTGTTTTGTCTTTGGTGTGAATTAATGTGTGTTGTTTGTTAGCTGTGGTCACCATGACCAACCCTGTTTATAAGCCGGCTCCTCAAAGAACAGTTTGAACAGGCTGTGCGTCAAACCTGAAAGAATCAACAGCTCTCCTCCTCCTTCTTGTTACTGCGTTCATTTCTGGTATGTTCACACACGTCATGTGTTTGTCACTAGAAAAGGAGGAAGAAAACCCAGACAGACCACATGAAGCCACATCCTCCTCTGACTTCATTTCCATCATACCATTTACTGAAGTCCCTATGAAGACGCAGGCAGTTCAGGATAGACTGGTCTGGGGACATTGTGTTTCTCTTCCACCCGCCCTCTTTGCTCATTAGGCCTCCTTGGCCCCTCCTCCTCCTGCTGTTTATCCTTTATATACTGTACCTACGTATCCATACTGAAAGTGTTTTGATTGTTTTTTCTGTGTGATTTAACCCAGCACATCATGGACTTCTCTCAGCCTTTTTCAGTTCTCAACGAGAGACTGAAGCCCCGCGTCACTGCCAGTGAACAGCTTTACTCTTCCCTGTGCAGACTGGAGGACAGACAGATGTACACGTACAGGAGCAGGTCGCTTTATCAACTGGCACTGCAGACAGAACAAAAACAGACAGTCTCGGTGATAACACCATCAGAAGATTCACAGGTGTCTGAAGACAACAAAAGCCAAGATGACGGTCAAGAGGAGGGGAGGTATGCAGAAGAGGAGCAGGTGGAGGAGGACAGGATCTCTACGCAGTCTGAGGAGAAAGAAAACCCAGGTGAACTAACCACAGCGGGGGGGCAGGACTCCTCGGGGTCAGGATCCTCAGCAAGTGAAGGTGGAAGCCCCGCACAGATGAAATACGTGGACGGCAATTTACCAGATCTGCTGAGTAGTGGCAGGCCGCTCAGCAGACGCAGGACACTTGGACATGTCTCAGCCACGGTAAGGTGATAAACACAATGTTTAAAACACAAAGTTGAATCTTTAAACGAAACATTCTGAGTGGTAGTGTTTTTATTAGCTGGCAGTGATCATGAGATTAGAGTAAGAATGTATTAGTTTGGTGGATATTTACAGTATTCTTCCTTGCCTTTCTGAGAGAGCATTTTTCTTGTGCATACTTGCTGAGTTTGTCAGGTGGGAGTGACACCTCAGCAGGTACGACTGGATCCTGTATCCACAGTTTCACCCAGGAGTCTAGATAAGCAGTTTCTGTTTACACTGTTACATTTTCACAGAGGGAGGATCTACTAAAAATACGCCTCGTTATGGAGTCCTGATTGTTGTTGTGTTCTTTGTGTGCAGCTCAACGAAGTGCGCAGGGAAGTGGAGCTCTCTCGAAAACGGAGCATCAAACTCAAGGCCCAGGTGGACAAACTCCAGGAGAGCAAAGGTGGACAAGGCTGGAGTCAACACAGAGAGAGGGTAAATGTCACACCTTATGGTTGACAACTACAGCGTCTGCAGCACAGAGCTTATACTCCAGCTGTTGTCCACAGGTCACAGAGGAAGTCCTGTCCATCCTGAGGTTGCTGTCCCCACTCACAGACAAGTCCAACTCGTCCCAGTCTTTTCGGGCAGATGACTGCCTGGACATTACCCTGGCTCAGCTGCAGAGTGTGGCCCGTCAGCTGGCGATCAGCCACACTGAACAAGTACAGGTGACAGGAAAAGTTCATTAACCATTTACCCTGCAATCTCAGTCTGAATTAGACCGTCCCAAGGCAAATGTTTGCTTTGCACATAACTCACACAGTATGATGTGACTGTGATCAACAAGGTCGCAAAGGTCATACGTGACTGACATGCAGAAAATAAAGGTTCTAATTACAGTAATGTATAACTAAATCTGACCCCGTTAAACTTGACATTCTGAGTTGTCTGTCAGGACACATTCTTGACCCTCCTTGAAAGTCACAGCAGGTGATTTAATCTTTCCAAATGGCAATTTAATACTAGATGATTATGATTATGGCCTGAAGTCTGTGCGTCAATTTAAACGCTCCCGTGAAACCAGCAGCATTCTCTCAGTGTAATTCTTCCTCATTGTTTAACTGATCACGCAGAAGACTCATCACAAGACTGAAGTATGTAGTTCAGCACGTTCAGCAGCGACAGTATCAACGACGTGACTGTTCGCTGAATTTTCTGCACATTAGTCATGTGTGAGTGGGATGAAAACAAAGTCACCAGTCACCCCTAACCCTATGAGTATTAGAATAATTATAAATAATTTTCGCAAAAAATGTCTGAAGATGTTACAAATTTAGCTACAAACTAGCACAGAAAAATCGAAAGAAATAGCAGTAGCAGTTTGAATTAACTAGAATTTAAATACCTCTAAAATTTACAGTGTTTTAAACATTATCCTTTTAAAAATCTAAATTTCCACAAGAAGATGCAAAAATCCATGCAATATGAGCACAAGGTCTTATGATAGTTCAACAAATGTTCATGCTGTGCACAAAAACCCTGTATCGTGCGTGCAAGAGTTATCTTCCGTGCACACGTGAAATAATACTTTCTAGAGATTTAGAGGTCAGATTTCCATGTCTTGTCAATGTTTCTGGGCTGATGGTGAGATTAGATTGACAGGAAAAAAAATAAACAAAATCACTTGTTGATTGCAGGCCCCAACAACTAGAAAAGGAGAAGCGGACAGTGCCATTTTGCAGCAGGCACTGAGGGACAGAGATGACGCCATAGAAAAGTGAGTGAAGACATAGTCAGCCATTCTCAACAACACATGGAGCAGGATTTAGGTGGAGTTAAGAAAGAGGAAAAAATAAGATCATGATCTTTTCTGAGAAATTTGTCATTGTTTTTGTCCTGCTGCTCAGGAAAAAGGCGATGGAGGCAGAGCTGCTGAGAAGCAAGACAGAGATGATGTCACTAAACAACCAGCTGCTGGAGGCCGTACAGAAGCGACTGGAGCTGTCGCTGGAGCTGGAGGCCTGGAAGGTAAAGCTGAGCTGGGTTTAATATTAATGTGTGGGGTAAAGGTGGAGAACGCATGAGTTATGCAGAGGTGTCAGATTCCCCTGCAGGTGGTGTGATAACTGCAGTTGAAATGCTGTGGGGGTGTACAACACTATTGTTTTATGAAAATAAAATATTGGAACTTCTGAAAATATGACAAAGATAATACTGAGCCGTTGTTTAAACACAGCAGGTTACTGTACGTTTGCCTTTGCTGGTTAAAGCCAGCAGATTAGTAAAACTGTACACCTCAAAGGTTTCCAACAACTTACGTCCTGGTGTTCTATTACTGCCACCTGCTGGCTATTTTTCAGCTAGTAAACATTTGCACCAAGAGATTTTACAACTTGCAGAAAAATTTAAACAATAAAAAAAGATAAATAATCTCTCTAAATAAATGCACCACAATTGAAAGATCAATTTAATTAGTTTTTAGGTATCTTTGCTTTTTTTAAACTTTATTTCCTGTATTTTTGTGAAAGTAACACTTCATGTATTTATACATTTTCTTCAACACAGCTGACATCATGTTTATGCGTCCTTTTTTTTCTTGTTCTTACAGGAGGACGTCCAGACGATCGTCCAACAGAATCTGCAGAGTCAGCAGCAGGGGGAGCAGCCTCAGAAGAAAACCTTCAGAAGCCTGGGCATCCTGAGGCGGTACAACCGACCACCCATCCAGCGACCCACCAAACCCACAATCAACTCTTCATCACCCACCTCTCCCACAGTCAACCCAAGCCAGATCTTCGTCCCCAGGGCTGCAGCAGCAGCAGCTTCTGCCTCTCCGCCACCCACCACACCACCCTCCAGCAGTGGCCAGCGCACCTGGAGGGACAGGCTGAGGAGGGGCAAGACCAGCCGCCCTGGGGAGGAGTCAGCAGGGCAGGGCTCAGAGCAGGACCTGGAGGGGTTCCACAACGTATCACTCGACTGAGACAGTGATAACGTTTGCACTCAACTGTACTGAGTAGAACTTTTGTAGTGACTTTTCTTTTTGCCTGTCGAGTCTCATTTAATAAAGGTTCACTCTGCAGTTTGACTTAAGAAAAACCACCACGCAAACAACTTGTTCATGTGTAAGTAGGAACATTTGTAAATACAAATTTTAAGATGTTTCACGTGGGAAAGCCTTGGGGTTTTTACTTGAATTATTTTGAACAAAGTACTTGTACGAACAAGGAAGGACTCTTGCCACGTCCTTATACATGGAATTGTGTTTTGCACCTTTGACTTGTAAATAATTATGCATAAAAAACTGTTTAATAATGAGACACGTATTTTGTTTTACATTGTCTTGAGTCACTGTCAATTTTCCATTTTCAAAACTTTTCCTTGAAACCTTTTCCAAAACAATAAACTGAACTGTGTTGGTTGTGTTTTAGTTGTTTATTATCAGTGTGTACAGGTTCAATAATATATATATATATATCCCACGTATTCTGTATGCATCTTGCGCACATTTAAAATGTCTATACTTTGTTATTGTTAATGAGCATCACTTGTCTGGACCTACGGAGACATACAAAGCACAGCAAAGTCAAATCTGATGACCGGAGAAAAGGCATGCGGACAGTAAAGATCAACAGGTGAACGATGTCAATGAGGGAAGAGGATTATCGTTGTTACAGCTACAAACGTCCTTTCATAACCTGTACAGTTGAGGGGAGCGTGGCCTGCATTCAAATGTCAAGAGGATACGAGCTCTTCTAAACGTTCGATGACTTAAAGCCTTTTCGATGACTTTTTTAGATTCACGAAAGACACAGACACACATATAAAACACTGACTCCAGTAAAGGTTAGCTCCAGTTAAGGATATACTGGTGTGTTTAGCTTTCTTGCTAGAAGAGTCTCACAAAACTGGCAACCCAGCTGCCAGTTTCTACTGTGCTGATAAATATAATATCAAGGTTCATATCAAGTTTTGCAAAACATGGAAAAAAGAAGAAGCTCTGGACAAAACAGGCACATACACATTTACACCCTGATTATTTATACAAATGGCAGTTTCACAACCGGACTGTGTTATTTCAACAGTCCCAAACAAACGGTTAATTAACAATGTGCATCGTTGCAGCATATATTTGTGAGCTAATACCCATATAACCTTGGTTTAGTTGTAAATATGCGCGTTGTGTAGAATAAGTCAGTAAAACAGGTTTCATCAACAGAACAACGACCGGACTAACCAATCACGAAGACACGACGACAACGGTACATCTTAACGTCAGGCAAACAAAGAGAATATTATTAGTGTATAACAACCAGCAAATCCTGTGCTCAGAACAAAACTGCTTTAGAGAATTAGAGCTCTCTTTTAGACTTATTCTCTTGGAAGGTTAGCATTATAGGAGAATAGCCGATCTGTAAATTCTCTTCTTTAACGGCAGAAATAAAAGCAATAAGAATATTCAAGTTACCAAAGAAATACTAAATGTCATATTTATAAAACAAACATTGGAACATGTGAGGTCAATGTTACAGCTTCTTTGAAAAAAAGCTCTGAAATAAAATATTCTTCTTAATCTGCTTCAATTGATGCCCAGTATGTTTTCATCTTTTCAGTCAGTCTTTACTGCTGGTCAACTGTGCTTGATTGTACTTGGCCTCCCTCCGACTGCGACACTGGCATCAATGTATCAACAAAAAGAAAACACTGTGCAAATGAGCCTTTCTTTGGATTAGTATATCACCATCCAAAACAGCTCTATGATGTTAAAGATATTTTCATCCTCAAGCTACTCATTACCAAAACATAAAAAACCTTCAACGAAAACATCTAGTAAACACTAGTTTTTGCAGCTGAAAACCATAGACATGTGGAACTGCACTACACTACACTGCACTACACTACAGTACATTAGACATTTGTACACATTTGGACTCTGTTAAAAGGTAGGAAGAGAACTGCTGTAAAAGAACGGGTTTGGTCCAGTGTTTGTTATTTACGTCATCAACTGAAGCTGTTGAACTCTCACCCTTTCTGTGAGGTCACTAAGGGGTGGAGCCTAAAATTAAAACAGTCCTGAGAAGTGAACAGGAGCCAGCTAGGACTGAAGGAAGGAGATGATGGAGCTGATGAAATCTAAGGGTTTGTCTGCATGGATCCAGTGACTGGCGTCTGGGATGTACTGGATGTCAGCACAAGGAAACAACCGCTGGATTTCGGGAAAATCATCAGAGCTGCGAAGAAAGAAAGGTAAGCAATTAGTGTCACGTGTTATATTAACAACCACGAAAACTCGGATCTCAGCAAATACCTGAAGCCTCATTTATCAACCGTGCGTAAGAAAAATCTAAATTCCTTCCTAGGACTGACATTTATCATATGTATTAAGTAGAAAAATATTCGGCAATTAGTGCTGATAATCCTCACCTGTTCGAAACTACCGTTGCAGCGTTAGGTTCATTTGCATTCAGAAACGCCTCCAATTGACCATATATGGTAACAACAATCCCTTAAAGAATGTGTTAAAGGGATTGTAAACCAAAGTCATGGCAAATAGGGCGAAGATGAGGAATTTCAACGACACATATTGAGGTACTTGATGTAGCCTGTAAGTACATCAATGTGTCGGTGAAATTCCAACACTTACTGCCGGTGTAACCAAAATAACTGAATTCATTCATTCGTTGCGTAACGGCGCTTTTATTACAATGTATGCAGTCAATGACTCTGATCATGTTTGAGAATCCGGCGAAATCCACTTTAATTACCGCGTGTCACGTAAATCACGTACATCCTAGCGCAAGATAAGCCACTGTTCTTGTATTCTTGTATGTTCTCCTGTCTTTTATAGCTTTCACACCAATCATGCAAATGTCTGCTAAATTACAAATTTAATTTTTATTAATAAGAGGAAACAGGGAACATTGACTCCATTAATGGGTTCTATTTTTTAGTTTCACCATTCTAACACTAGATTTTGTGTGTAAGCAAGCACAAGTACAAGTTGATAAATTCCATATTTTGTGTATGAATGTTCTTACACACATCTGTGCTTCTGCACTGTTGATAAATGAGGCTCCAGGAGTCTGGATGTAGCCTTAGTCTTTTTTACCTGATATAAGGGGAACTGGCTCCCCCTAAGAACAGCGTGGGTCCCTCATACACAGTGTCAAACTGTGGAAAAGTCATGATGTTTTCAAGGTGAGCTGAAATGGCCTCCAGGTTGACCCTCCAAGCGTAGTGTCCGTTCTGCTCCACCAGGTTAGTCAACAGGAACTGACGCACCGAGCGCTCCTGATGGACACGGAGCATGTTTGTGACATGTCATGATCAGGGTTTGAAAGATTTAGCAACTAATAATAACCAGACATTTGAACAAATTGTTAACTAAAAATGACTAACTAAAAACCTTTGAATAATTAATTAATACTTTAAGTATTGCACTTACTGCACAAAGCTATGGAAATGTTCAATTCCACTAATATGTTAAAAAAATAAGTCATTGCACTTTCTAGGAAATATTAAAATAAGTGATAAATTTACTTTTATGCAGCATAATGCTTCTGTAGACTTGCGTATCAAACACAGTAAAAAGAGTCCTGACCTTGACCAAATTGCGCAATTGATCCTCAGCCATCCGTCTGGCAGTAGAACGTGGGATGTCACTAGAGATCTTCATTTCTTGCATGGCTTGGATGTAGCGACGGAAGTTGGTGCGTGTGGTGGTCTGGGCTGGACTGATGTCTACTACCACCAACCTCTCCACTAAAGCGGGCTACAAACAAACAGCCAAACAAAAAAAATCAATTCACTGTGATGTTCTGCATGGAGAAGCCAAGAAGAAACTACTACGGGTTTTGGTGTGTCATATGGAGCCAAGGAGTGTCGTTTAAATACAGAGACGATGGAAAACTTGCACTGCAAAGGTTGCCAGACAATGAGACTGGGGACATGTTAAATTCATGGTGACATTTTCTTGACAGCTTACCTGTGTGAGAGCGGTTGTCATAGCTGTTTTCCCTCCCATACTGTGGCCAATGAGAACACACTTCTCAATGCGCAGCTGAGTGAGGAGGAGCTTCAAATCCCCAGCCATCGCTTCATAGGACATTGCAGTGCTATGAGGGCTGGTACCATGGTTACGGGCATCGACTGTCAGCACCTAACTGGACAAAGGACAGTTAGGACACTCGGCAAAAGGCATCAAGAAGGAAACAGAAACAGTTTGTCTGCTGCTAAGAAAATTAACACCAGGGTTGACCTATGACATTTACATCTGGACATGGCATGTTTTTCTTTCCTGAAGCTGAATTTGAAGTACAAAAAACAACAATAGTGACGTCTTCATCATTGCATTACCTTTCGGCCTGTACGCTGAACCAAGGACTTTGCTATCGAGTGGAAGTTAGATTTGCTGCCAAAAAGTCCATGAAGAAACACCAGAGGAGTGCTTTCTCCCTTCCCGTCAAAGACATCATAAGTCAAGTTGATTGGACTGTGGGGAGGAAAAACAAAGTAATGAGAGGAACATGACAATTTGATGAGTCTTCACTGTTTCTTTTTAAACCAATGACTCCCACAGTGAAAGAGGTGAAGCATCAACATCCTACTGATTGTATTGTATAAAACTGTCTTGTATAGACCTTTATGTATAAATGTACCATGCTATTTTGTATCTAATACTTTTTTTTTAAAAAACATGCATGGTCCAGTAAGCCTTGGTCAGTCATGGTCAATGGGATACATAAACACTTGTGGAAAAACAGTTAGGGAAAAATATTAAGTAAAATATAAATATACTGTATTTACATATAATTTAACTATGTCTACTAGTCAGCGCTTTTGAAGGAATAAGTAACACGCCATAATTTGGAAAGGTTGTTGCTTTGTCAACAGAGGTTTTGCCTTGAGACACATACTGAGGTCACACTCGCCCTTAGCTGGGGGCTGAGACCTAAGTCTCCAGTGACCTCTGCACCTCGGATGAGACATACACACCTATTTTAAATCATTTAACACAAATTTGACCACAAGATTCACAATTAAAGCCCTGCTTTAGATCTTTCTTCTTTTTATTTTGGATTCAACAGAATTGTTTTTTAATCTTTTAAATTGCACTACACCATCAAGTAGATGTATTTTACAAATTTTTTGTCTACATTTTGCTTTTTGTAAATGTCAAGGGAAAATTACAGACAAATACTTCTAAAGATCTACCACAGTGTGTACAGTTTAGCCATCTGTTTTTTGTGGTCAGCTTTTTTTTCAAAGCTGTTGTTTATTTTTTTTACTATCAGTTTCTCAGTATGAATTTAAAACACTATGTCTATAATCTTCACATGTTATTTCCAAAACACCCAGTTATTTCCATGGTTGGATATCCTAACTGTATTTATGAATTATTTACTGATAAAATACCGCAGCATATTTGTAAAGGCCGTGTTAGCGTTCACTGTAACATCTTTGTCTATGTCTATGTAAACCCTTGGTTTATAATATAGATACAAATTTAGATACAATTTTTAGACGTTAAAATGAAAGGACTTATAGATGTAATAACGATAAGAGTAAGAATGCTATGCATCTGTCAGCATCAGCGGACACAAACAGAGGGCAGCAGTTAGCCTGACAGCTAACAGAGCTACCTGGAGGAACAGACGGTACGGACTGTAAGAGTTACACCGCAGCCACGCTGCTGTTGGCTGGGGAAGGACCGACACGACAGTCGTCCGCTCTGCAGTCCTCTCCGGATCACGCGACTCAAAAAACTCATGGCGGCAACAGCTTTCGCTCCGTAAGCAAGCAACGATCCAACAGCATGTGCGTTTAACGACGGCCTTGGTTACAGAGAACCTTAAGAACACCGGTATGAATGAGTAGACAGCTTCCCGGAGGTCAAGCTTGAGGAGAGAGCTTCAAGCTGTCAACAGCTGATGATGCGTAATGACGTAGGACGCGTGTTCACGTAGTTTAGTGCCCTGAGATTTGTCTTCCAGGCCATGTTTACTTCTATAACTTTTCAAGAAAACGCTGTTTACACTGTGATTTTTTTTCTTAAAGGTATTAGACACTTTTCTAACATTATTTATGAGAGTAAATATAATTTTTAAGACCTTATTACAGTATACAATTTGGCAAAATAAACGACCTAAATTGTACAATACAAAAATGGCCAAAACGAATAGCTGTCACAAAATTCCAATTTAAATTCTAGACATTTCAATTACTCATTTGGCGTAAAAAATCCTTGAATTGTGCAGTACAATAAATGATTACAAAAGAATTTTTTTTTTAAGTTTGACATATTTGACAAACAGTTTTGTTTTCTAGGGGAAATGGTTCAAAGGCATGGAACGAACGTAAAATAAAAATGTATTAAAGCCCTTTTGGAACAAAGATTTGAGTTTATGGTGTGTCCACACTTTATTATGGGTCTTAAAAGTTCATTTATTTTAATTACAGTGTTAATGAACGATATGCAAAATGAATGTTTCAAAGTCCATTAAATAAAGGTTAATCAGCTGTACGATAGTCATCGTTTTAAGATAATTGTGGCAATGACCACTGGGTGGCGTCCGAGTACTGAAATATAGGCAGTGCAAAATTGCTTATTCTGGTTTGTCCTTACAATTTCCAATAAATAAATTGCTATTTTCTTTTGACGAATTTGAAACACAAATGGGCTCATAATTCAGGGATTACTTTATTTTATCCATGTTTATCTTGTGAAAACGATTGATGATTTTAAGGTGTTTCTTAGCTGCTTATATTTGAGTAATTTAAGATGTTTTGACATAGAGAATATCAGTTTGAAGTAAAATGGTGATCTTTCTGTGTATTGTGTGTATTACTTTATTTAAACCTTCCCTGCAACTGCTTCTTAAAAATACCAAAGCATTACTTAAATTATTATGTTTTGTTCTGATCAATTTTGGTTAAAACTGTGTTCAGAGGAGTTAATGTTCATGCACTTGTTTTTTTATTAAGGCATATAAAAACAAAGGCTCAGTTTATGGCCTTACACAAGTTAGCCAATCTGACTGCCTCCAAACCTTTCATTGTTTCATTGCTATGGGCGACAGGTCTGTGGGGACAAAGCGCACAGTGAACGGTCACCATAGCGATGGCATGAGACAGAGGCCCATGGGAGCCAATGGTACAAACCCTGCTGAGAGTAGAAATGAAATCTTGGCAACAGCTTAAAAAAAACCCAAAAAAACAAAAATCACATACCTGAGATTTTAAATGCTTGTTTAATATAGTTTCTCATTTACAACTGATGCGTTTCATAAATATGAAGTATATTACTTTTCAGGGATTAATATATATATGTATATATATATGATATATTTCTGACTAATTAATTATTTATGAGTAACACCAGCTTTTTAGGATATTTGTCTTTCCAGTCTTTTCAGCAGTATTGATGTCTTTTTTTGTCTAAAACATCTCTGTGCAGGGCGTCTACTCTATTTACTGTTATCTTGGTAGTTATCTGGAGGTCTTCAGTCACATGTATTATTTGCTTTGTCCACTAAATCTGTGACCATTCTTTATGGTAACCATTATTTATCTGAAGTCCAAGCTATATCCCTAGGACTTTTGCTGTACCTTCTAAATACCCCAGCTTAATTCCAAGTAAAACAAGTTTTCTTAAAAAGGTCATTCAGTGAATGGTTCAAGTTCAGCCTTGTGATGACTGTGACATGTTCAGAGCCTGTTCATTAACACATGCCCAAGTGTGTGACATATTTATCAGCTTTACACAACTTTACAGCCAGTTTATCAATGAGGTGTAAAGAATAAGTGATAATGGAATTCATCCTTTCCTGCATCTCTATCAGAAAGTAGTTGGACTTTGCTGTTTGGACATTATTTTTTTAAGAGAAACTTGCTACCTGTCAACTTCACGTGTCCCAGCTGCTGACATTCAAATGTGATATCAGTGACACTGTGGATCTGGTCCTGCCATAACATGTCTTTAGTTGCTCTGTCTTTACTGTCATGTTGTCCAATTCATAAGTAACACACAAGGACTTTTGTCAACATTGACCCCATTCTGAATGTCCTTGTAATATTGAGCAATGTGGTTGACAGCAAACAGTAGTTTCCATTTCCTTTGTCGACACTGACTTCTACCGAAGAATCACGACATACTCTGCAGGACATCACTAAATCAAAACATCAAAGTAGACACCATGGATATACTGTACAGTAGACAATAACATTTTTTAATCTGATTAATCACTGCGTGCCTGTGGATTAATCCAGATTATTTGTGAGAATATTTTTTTAAGTTATTACAAAAAAATCTGTATTCTGCAGGAACAGAAAACAACAGAGTGTATGATTTACACCTGTTTTAAATAGTGACTAATCTAAATAATGGAATTATTAACACTCATCATAATCGTAAACTGTCAGTCAGCTTGTCAATGACATAACATAGAATTCATCATTGGCTGCTTGCTGTATGTCACCCTGCTCACTGTCAGTTAAAAAGCAATGCTTGTTTTGTAAATAAGCCAACAAACAACCAGTGAAGGAATGATCGCTGTTTAGAAATTGTACTAGAAAGAATGAAGATCAGACCGAGCCTTGTTTACAGAAAAATAAGACAATGTGTTTACTAAACAACTTGTATTAATAGCTGAGCCTTTAGGTCGCTCACCCTCCATGTTTACATAAATTCTTACATTTGTATATATGTATATATGTGTACTTTTTTTAGTAGACTATTGTCCAAATCCCTTCAAAAAACTAAAAACTTAGCTTTACTGCCTTTCATTGTGAAGCAGAATTCACCTGGAAAAGTCCAGGCAGCAGAGTTTCTTAACCTTTTTCTTAAGTTTTTTTTTTTATTACACAGCAATGAACAATATTTATAGCTTGAATAAATAATAATCAGTTGCAGAAACATGTATTAGTCTGTTATGGAGTAGTTACATCTATACCAACAGTCCCCAGTACCAAGGACTGGTCAGCCTGTTACTACAGACCAGTAGCAAGGTGCTGAGCATTAAAGGATCATTAAATTGTCTAATTAAAACATCTACTAGACTCTATTCTGTAGATCTAAATGACTTGAATTATTTTAGAATATTGCCAGATTATCCTTAAATAAAGAAAGTAAATGGATATTTAAATGAAGTAAATTAGTAAAAAAATAAGTACAGTTTTTCACTGTGTCCCACTGCGGCCTGGTACCAAATGACTTATGGACTGGTACCAGTCTGTGCACCGGGGGTTGGAGACCCCTGATCTAAAGAGTCTGCCACTTACAACTGGCCCTTCAAGGGGAACTGTATTGCTGATGTGGCCCCCGGTGAAAATGAGTTTGACCCCCGGTCTAGACGATGATAGCCTTACAGATCCGTTCATTGCAGCTGTATCACTGGCTGAATAAATAACCCGTGAAGCCATGTTTAATTGTTTTAACAGTTTGGTTTAACAGTTTGTTTGATGTGCTTTATGTGTTTGCGTAAAAGGTAATGTTCATTCTAAAACAATGACACAACTCCCATGTTTCTTTTTGTCAAAACTGTCTTTATTGAAATCCTCCACATGGAGTGTAAAACATTTGCTGTTGGAATCTTGTTGGAGTTACACTAGTACAAAACATTCTTTATCAGACGACACATTGCCTACTTAAAGAGTTACAGAATAATAGGTGTCATATTAGAAACACAGTCAACTACAACTGAACATCTGTGGTCCCCTCAGGGACCCCCACCCCTCACCTGTGCTAAAATACAGAAGGCTGTACAGTAAAATATTATACACATTGTGTACACATCTAAAACACACAAAGTAGTAAAATAACAAAGTGTAACATTTGGAAATTTCAGTTAGTTGTCTCATAAATGTTAATTAAAGAATTAAATAAAAAAAGGGATTAAAAAGTCAGTCCCTGTGGTTCAAGATAAAGTTGTTTCCTTGGGCCATTTCATGGAACACATCATCTTTAGTTTCAGTTTCAACAGAAACTCACCTAAGCAAATATTACATGCAAAGCACACACACAGACGCGCACCATCCAATCGCAAAAGCAAATCCATGAAAAACGAGACCTGACGCTTCCCTGTCATTGTCAGTAAAATAGCACAATGTTCAAACCGACGGTTTCAGTGAAACGTGACACTGGCAACCTGACGACAAAGGTACACGGCACACACAGAGTTGACGGTAGGTTTCAGATTGACATAATTCCACATGTACGTATAACAAACTACATTTTTTAAAAACATTTTTTTATGGAGAAAATGTTTCTGCAATCAGATGCTGGAAAGTTATTAGAGCAAACACAGATGCTGCTGCACTACAGCTGGACAGATACAGCTGGACAGATACAGCCGGACAGATACAGCCGGACAGATACAGCCGGACAGATACAGCCGGACAGATACAGCCGGACAGATACAGCCGGACAGATACAGCCGGACAGATACAGCCGGACAGATACAGCCGGACAGATACAGCCGGACAGATACAGCCGGACAGATACAGCCGGACAGATACAGCCGGACAGATACAGCCGGACAGATACAGCCGGACAGATACAGCCGGACAGATACAGCCGGACAGATACAGCCGGACAGATACAGCCGGACAGATACAGCCGGACAGATACAGCCGGACAGATACAGCCGGACAGATACAGCCGGACAGCTGCAGTTTGGAACCTATGCTGTAGAGTCAATGCAAAAGCAAAGCACAAACATCAGGATTTATACAAGTATCTTCATATTGGAGTCTTAACCAGGGATTAACCCCTGGAGAAATTGATAACAACACACACATATACACTACACACACACACACAAGCATTCATGTTAAACAGGTTTTTTGTTTTCATTCTATCCTACTCTACCAGATGATACACCTCAGAGCTGCTCAAACATAGTCTTTCCTGTCATATCCAGCACTGGTGCTGCGGGGGGCAGAGTAGGCCATTCTTGGAGGCTTGTACTTCTTCTCTTTCGGAGGACAACTTGAGCAAAGCATTGCCCCACCAATCAGGAGCAAGGCACATGCTCCCCAGCCGATGTAGAGTGCTGCCCCCAACTCTCTCCGCTGCGATGATAACACCAAGGGGTTGTAGAAATCTCTGATGATGACATGGGCCGTCCAGGAGACAGGAATGAGGACCAGGACACCAGCGAGGACGAAGAAGATCCCAGAGATGATCATCACTTTGGCCTTGGACGCCTCATCTTCAATGCAGTTGGTGCATTTTGCGCCAACTATGGAGATCAAAACCCCCAACACTCCAAGTATGATGGCAATGATTAGCATTGCTCTGGAGGCCTGGAGCTCTCTGGACAAGGCCAGCATGGAGTCATAGATCTTACACTGCATCTGGCCCGTGCTCTGGGTCACACAGTTCATCCACAAACCCTCCCAGATGGTCTGAGCGGTGACGATGTTGGCTCCGATGAAGGCGGTCACCTTCCACATGGGCAGAGCGCAGGTGACGATTGAAATGATAAATCCGATGGTTCCGAGGGCTATGCCCACGATCTCCATGCCCATCGACATGACGGCTCTAAAACCTAAGTTACAAGTCAGCAGCAGACAAACTGTTGGACAAACAAAGGCCTATTGAGCTGGATTCTCCTGCTGCGTTTGTTCAGGTGTCTGCACCTGTGAGAGGCTGTGATGCAGAGATGCTGCCTCGGAAACAGGAGCTACTTTAATACTTATGGGAAGTGAGGAGGAGTCCCATGGTGGTGATGTCAGCAGGAGGCTGCCTCGTTACACACAAACACACAAAGAAAAAAAAAACCCTGCACTTATGGTGGAGGATGGGAGCTGGAGACAGGTTGGTTGATGGGGGATGGAGGGAGGGTGTGTCTGTGTACCGGTCTGTGTGGTTGTGTGTACAGGAGGGGGTGATTCAACCCTTTGATTGAGGTACTTCAACCATTTCTAGACCGTTCAGGTGATTGTGAACTGTGATAATTTGATGAATAGGCAAAGGTAAACAAGATACTTTCACTTCACTAGGTCAGACCTGGAAACTTGCTGCAGTAGTAAAGTAAAGCTGAATATGTTAACTCGCTCAGGCACTCACACATATTAATTATTCCCTAGATCCTGGAGGCAATTCTCTGAGCTTTCCCCCCTTTTTTTGTAACAGTCATTCAGGATAACAATCCTAATGCTCTCCTGAAAACCGGAATAACTGCACCCAGAGTAAATATGAGCAGGGAGAAAACCTAATAGATCAGCTTTCAGACACCTTAAGCATACAGACAACATGATCTTCTTAGTATCGGTTGGAGTCTTTATCCACACAGTTCCTGCTTGGCTTGACTAAGTGAGGAGGGCTAGTACACAAATACGATTTATAAATAAACATGCAAAAAAAAAAACACCTCTAAAACAGACTTTCTAACTTTATTTATTTATGGTTTTTTTTCTTCTTTTACATGTAAAGAAACCCTAAGGCCTACCATCTGGGGGGCTACGTTTGCCGTTCCACAGTGGAGCATCCCCACCAATGACTTTGGTGTGTTTACAGTACAACACCAGTTGCTGTGTGTGACAACATCAGAACCACAACAGGTATCTTAAACACTCACTGTTGCTACACTACGAATGTGCTGACTCTGTGAATGAATACCAACAAGAATCTGCAGAATTATCTTTGTTATTCTGCATTGTAAAAAGGTGTGAGCTAATATATGATTAGATCAGTGGGGGTCAAAAGTAAATAGAGCAATACTTAATTTGAAGACAAAATGTTGTACTTGGAAAAACTAGTTATCACTATTTTGATCAAATGTCGCATTTTAATCATGTTGGAAATGTTAAGGAAAGTGAGCAGCCAAAACATGGAAACAGAAAATTTGACTATTCAAAATAGGGTGAGAATAAAAAGACCAGCAGCTGAGAAAGGCCACGAAGGCATCGGAAAGTAAAAAGTAATGTTTAAAATTTGTATTATTAAGAATGAGCCAACATCAACGATCATTTCAATTTAAATACTACTCTACATGGTCAGATATAAATGTTAGTCGACTTGAGTTTCATTTAATAAAAATAATGATGATTTGTAGTATATGTTTTAACCAGAATGTAAATCTATCTGTAAGGCTCACAGACATTTATTTGAGGAACACCCGATGTTCAGGTTGTGTATGCCATGACCTGTGGTTAATGAAGAAGTGAAACTATCGTGTCCATTTGGGAGGACACAGAATTGTGTGAGAGATTGATAACAGTTATTGTCTTTCTTTTTTCTCGTTTTCTGATATGAAAAAATATGACTTATATTAATAAAGGAGTATTAGTATTAGTAAAGTATTTCTACCCTTTTTTATCCGCTTGTTCTCAGTCATAATTGCCACCTATACGTCAGTTCAGTGCCTCTTCTGAGTACATGTTTGTATTGCGTGTATTTTTTGTAGTACTTTTCCTATTTTATTGTTCACTTTGAAGATTTATTTTTATCAGTAGAGTTAGAGTTTGTGTGTAAAACCTCAAAGGTTAAAGAGTTAAAAACAACAAAACAAACAATCATTGCTATTTCATTATTTAAAAACCACAAGTAAAGACATTTTTTAAAGATCATTTATTTTGCTGTATATAAAATAAAAACATATCCATAACATAAACGCTCCTATACAAGTCAATACATTTCAAATGTATAACCAACTTCAAAACATTTGTCAACACAGACAATTGAACTTTTATAGAAAACGAAAAAAAGTAGAAGAAATTATTCGACATGTCCATAAAGAGTTGATTTTTAACTTTTTTTCATCCCTCTCAACATCTAACTCCTCCACTTTGACCTTGTGTCGGAGCCAAAGTGAGCTCCGTTTCGCTCAGCGGTGTAAAATGTTTTATATCTGTGACTTTGCCCCGTTCAAAAGCACCTTTATGTACATTAGAGTTTCTATTTGCTTAACAGTAGCTGACGACAGAGGAAAAGTCAGGACAACAAAACAAAATCCAGAATGCATCTGAATGAGAACAAATAAATATTTAATACAAATTGTTATGGGATAGACAGAACAATTTGGTCCTCTTCATTAAAAAATTCTCTCTTCTTTTTCAGACCAATGGCTAAATGTAAACAGCATTATATCAAAAAAAAAAACTGCACAGAGCCTTTAAACACATTCAAAAGTATCAAATATATCTATAAACATTTTTGATCCAAAATATACATAAAAATCATCTTCAGCTCTGCTTCTTATATTCTTTATAATTATTAACAGCGGAATCACAATAAATCTTTATCACACATAGTCTTTTCTGGTGTAGGAGCTGTGAGCCACTGACCGTGGTGCGGCTGAGTACGCTATACGACTTTGTGGTTGCACGCTGTACCTGGTCGGTTTCTCTTCTTTCGGAGGACAACTGCAGCAGAGAATGGCGCCTCCAATCAAGAGCAGGGCGGAGGCAGCCCAGCCCAGGTACAGCGCCGCACCGATCTCCATCTTCTGTGCGGCCGGGATGATTGGGCTGTAGAACTCAATGACGATGGTGTGGGCGGACCAGGACACTGGCACGATCATGGCCAGAGCTGCTGTGATGAAGGCTGCACCGGAGGAGATCATTACCCTGGCCTTGACGCCCTCATCCTCGATGCAGTTGGTGCACTTTGCTCCGACCAGAGAGATGAGGAGAGCCACCACCCCAAGGATGATGGAGACGATCGTGAGGGCCCTCGCAGCCTGCAGGTCCTGAGGTAGGGCCAGCATGGAGTCGTAGACCTTACACTGCATCTGCCCCGTGCTTTGAAAGACGCAGCTCATCCACAGGCCCTCCCAGTACACCTGAGCTGTGACGATGTTGGCTCCAATGAAGGCAGAAACTCTCCACATTGGCAAAGCACAACTGACCACGCTCAGCAGCCAGCCCAGCACTGACAGAGTGCATCCCACCACTTCAAGTCCAAAAGACACCATGGTTGTCTCTTCTTCGAGTCAGTAAATCCCTTCTTTGAATTATTCTTTTCCTCCTCAGTTTAAACTGAAACTTCTCTGCGACGGTGATTTTCTTTTTCTCCTTCTGCTCTCTTAAATCAGAACGCTGCTTCTAGTTTGATCCTTTATGTTGACTCATCCATCGAACTCCGTCTCCTCTAAGAGTTAGCTGCTGCACCTGCTCCTGAATCCAGCCAAGAGTCGATTAATCAACTTAGTACTCCCTCCACAAACACACTGCCTCAAAGTACGTGCCTGCCTCAGATGTTGTGCTCCTGTCTTCAGCAGCTTTTAAGGAGTCAATGACCCTTATCACTTTATTGCTATGTGGACAGGCCCTCAATATGACATCATCCGCTAACCCAGGCCAATCCGGTAGGTCCTGGGCTTTGGCCTCATTTACCACCTGGGCGTGCTGGACCTTGTTTGTGTGCTTTGACAGATGAAGAATATTTTTTATGGTTTAACCTTTTACCCCTGGTAGATCCAGGTGTGTCTGTTTTATTGTTCTCAGGGGGTAATGAGTGGCCAGGACAGAGCTCGTAGTGTGGTTGATGAATGTGGAACAGATTACCTGTCTATTCCAGTCAGCTTTTATGACCAGAAGAATTGTGGCACCCAGATCTGAAACGTACGTCTGTTTGTGATGTTAGTGAACTTAACTGTTTGTAGTTTAGAACAAGATATTTTCTAAGTGTCGTATTGATTGCCGTCTTTGCAGGTAGGCAAGGCACACACAAAAAATGGATTTACAGTAATGTCACTTTTAGATACAAAGACTAAAAATACACATTTTAACAATGAAGGGCCCTAACCTTAAAAAAACTAATATCGTGTATGTAATACCTTATAAAAATCTTTGTGGTTTAAAAAGAAAATGTACATGGACACATACGCTGCTCAGCCTTTAACATTATACTGCGTAGCTGAGACCAGCTCTGAATTTCATCAATAAAATAAAACATATTCATTGTCAACTTTTTGACTGTTACTTTAATTACACATCTTAAAAACAGGGGTCCTCAACCAATGGAACCAAGACCAGTATTGAGCTGTAGATTTTTTGGTAACAGGCTGTTCAAAAGGGAAAAAAACATAGTAGTAAATTGTAATCAGTCATATAATGTGAGGGAAAATGTTTATTTTACCAACGTTGTGGTTCGATATAAAGCTACTCAGATTTAGTGACATCTTTCGGTGTAAAAAACTCTGCTCTGTTCCTGATGAGCTGCCCATATTAACTTTTCAGAAGGCTTGTTTTATTATTGGTTGTTTTATTGATATATTGTTTAATGACCATAGTGTCAGTTTGAAGACATTTTGTTCAATACAGAAATATTTGTCCATGTTTGAAATAAGAAAAAAACGAGATGGAATTGTGGTTCTTAACATCCTACAAGTACACAATGAAAATACTCAGAGTATTTTAAACACAAGGAATAGAACAATCTGAAACTGTGGGACGAACCCAGTTTCAGTAGCAGCCTGTGTGAGTCCTACCAAAGGAAAGCACAACGATGGCATTGAGGGCGAGTATTCCATTGCTGTTTGTTTTATTTGAAGTTTTTATTGATTGAAGTAAAACAGGGCGTTTTGAGTTTTTATTGAAGAGATAATCCTATCACACAGGATACATTTAATCACACAGATACGTTTGAGTTAATGACAAGCCAGAAATAGACATACATATAGTCATATGACTATGGTCACCTCTTGAACCCGACCGTGCTGTTCTTGATGTTGACAAATGGGGCTAACAGTTTTGATGTTTTCTTGTGCTGCTGTTTTGGGTTCTCTAGAAAGGGAACATTG